CTACCAGCCACAACAACACGCTACCCCCACCCCCACTCCACCACGCGGGTATAGGGGGCGGCTTGGGGAGGTCTGCCTCCCTAACCCTCCCAGCCCAGGCCACTTGAAGGCAGGGAGGAGGACTTGGCACCGGGCTTTCCCCTGTGGATTTGTCAGACGCCGTGGAGCAGCGTTAAGGTGGACATGGGATTCCTCACTGGGATGCAAGTTTTTCCCAAGCCGAGAAGCCCATTCTCTTCTCTGGACCTGGGCCTTTGAACACCTGGGGGTGTCTTTGCCCTCCGTTGGGACACCAGTCTTCGGTGTGTGGAAATGTGGAAGTCTTTTTTCCCACGTGAAGGTTGCTTTCCTCGTGAGGGGGTGTTTTCCCATGTGCAGGGTGAGGTGTTTTGTTTTGTTTTGTTTTGTTTTTTGCCGCCCTGGACACATGTTGGCCCCCTCAAAGAATTTCTGCGGAGATTTGTACCCCAGAATCCTGTTCCCTCATACTTTTGCCTTCTCCCCCTCCCACCCCCTGGAGACCCTGGAAGTGATGTGTTCACATACAGTGACCCTTGGCCACACCAGACTATACAGGGTGATGCCTGGGGAACAGCAAGGAAATCACAGGCCCCCTGGACCCCACTCCCCCTCCACCCTGAAAAGCATGTTTCTCCCCCATGGCACAAGTCAGATGAAGCATGTTCTCCCTGGAGGCCCCCCGCCTTCCACAGACAACACAGATTTCCTGCTAGAGGAAAGGGAGGAGATCTGTGCATCCCAGGACTGCCTGGAAACTTACCTGCCCATGGTCCAGGACACATTTCACTGAATGGAAACATGTTCTTGCATGTGGATGTGTGTTTCCCAGGCAGAGGGTCCCGCTCTTCCCGACACTTCCCTGCATCCCCCCCGCACCTCAGGCCCAGCACACGTTCCTCGTGACATAGCAGGTGGGAACAGACTTCAGACTGACAGACGCCACGGGGAAGTACACACTTGAAGGGAGATGCTGAGGTGGGAGAATGTGGGGGCATGGCACATGTCACACAAGAGGCCATGCATGTTTGACCTAAGCCCTCATGGGGCCTGAGGACAGCTTTCCCTCAGTCCTTGAGATCATTGCTCATCCGTGCCAAACTGGTTAGTAGGGTTGGGAGACTCAAAAATGTGCCAAGGATCCCCTAAGTCCTAGTCCAGGGAAGGGAAATGCCAAGGACAGGTGGCAGCTAAGTCCCCACCCCTCATGCCTCATCCCCATGTCATTTCTCTGTATCCACCTTTGTTCCTCATTCTCCATCACTGGCTCCTTCGATGCTCTTCCCCATCTCAGGGTCAGACCAGCCTGCTCTCTTCACCCTCTTTGACCTGCCTCCCCTTCCTGATTGGCTGAGCTGAAGGAAAGGAGCCACAGAAGGGGGAGGGGAGGAGACAGGAAAAAGGTTACACGGACAGGTTGGGGAGAATGAGGTCAGCTGTACCGAGGAGCAGATGGAGGGGGCCCTGGAGGACAGGGCTTGGGCAGACACCAGCAGAAAGATTTTGAAAGGAAATGTGGGAAGCAGCTGCCCAGAGGTCTTTGTATTTGGACCTCTGGGGACAAGAACGATGTCAGGAAAGGTTTTAAAGGACACCGGTGGAGGTGTGACCGAATCCTCATGTATTGTGTGGCTCTCTGTGGGATGTTAGTGCCAAACTTGTAGAGGGGTGGGGTGCTGTCTTCTACTGATGCCCAGATCCAGAATCCTTGGTCTTGAGTCCCCTGTCCTTTTCCCGTCTTTCACCCATGGAAACGAAGTTCTTTTCTGGCCCATTCCCCTGCCTGGTCTAGCAATTCTTGGAACAGCCATGCCTTCCAAATGCTATCAACCTGGGCCCTGAGCCCTGTAAGTGGATTCCTCAGAGCTGGGGTGTGAGGGGGGGCTGGGGGACCCCATGATACAGCCACGGACTCCAATGCCCAGCCCCTTTCCAAACAATCCCATGTCCCCACCCCAACCCTTTGCGGCTCTGTACACATTTTTAAACCTGGCAAAAGATGAAGAGAATATTGTAAATATAAAAGTTTAACTGTTGGTGTGTCTGCTGTTATGTTAGAAGGAGGGGGGAAGGGTTCCCAGCCCTGGTTGTGTCTGTTGGAAGGTGGTGGGAAGTAGTGCCCCTTTTCAAGGAACTCTTGAGATCTGAGGGGAAATAGCAAGAGTAGGGTTGCCATAATGATGGGAATGGATGGCTGAGGTAAAGACAGGATGGTCAAATAGTTACAAACACTTGTAATCATAGCATCCAGGCGGGTGTTGCAGAGGGATCATGAACTGAAGACCAGCCTGGACTACATGTCTTTAAAAAAGAAAGAAAATGCTGAACTGGAGAGATGGCTTGGAGGTTAAAAGCGCTGGCTGTTCTTCCAGAGGTCCTGAGTTCAATTCTCAGCAACCACATGGTGGCTCACAACCATCTGTAATGAGATCTGGTGCCCTCTTCTGTCATGCAGGTATACATGCAGGCAAAACACTGTACATGTAATAAATAAATAATTTTTTTAAAATGCTAGACATGGTGCGCACTGTAATCCCAGTAGATAGGTACAGACAGGATCAGGAGTTCAAGGTCACTCCTGGCTATGTAGAGGCCAAGATCAGGAGATGTGTGTGTGGAGGGGGAGTGTCTAGAGCCTGGTTTTGCTTTAGAAGGAAGAGGAACCGATGAGGGCAGATACCCAATGGATTAGTCAGTGGGTTCTCCCAGGAGGCTGACTGTAAGAGAGGCCTGCAAGGTCTGGGCTAAGGCTGGAGGGTCAACCCTGGCCGTAGCACCTTGAGAGTATCATCTTGGCACATTATGAGGGAAAGCCTCAGCATCATTGTGACCCGGTCACTCTCAGGACCCCTCTGGGGCAGGCTAGCAGGTCACTGGGCACTAGGGTTAGTGGGCTGGGGGCCTAAGGGCCCTGGTGGCCCTAGGGACCGCCATGGCCATGGCTGAGCGGTCACGGTCTGAGTGGAACTCATATCAAAACCCCAACAGCAACAACTGCCAGGACGTGGGAAACTCCATTCTGATACTGTTGGGTCTCATCATCTGTATTAACATTGGCATCAATTTGGTGACCCTGGTCAGGGATGGAAGGGGTGGCTGGGGTGGCTGGGAGGCAGGCCTGGTTACAAGAACTTACTCGTGGTCACCATGTCCTCCTATACCTAGCTCTGGAGCCGACTCCGCATCATCTTACACCGAATATTCCATATCATTTGTGAGAAAGGTAAGAATGGCGAGAGGTTGGGGCCCAGGAGGAGCAGACACCAGGCCTTCTGTCCCACCCGACCCTGAGCTGTTCCTTAATGACTGGAGCGGCTCCTCTCCCAGAGCCCCACCTTACCTCTCTGTAGAAGCCAGCCTCTTCAACAGCCTCCCCTCTCCCTAATCCACAGAAACTACTCAATTATGCTCACCTGGGAGGCAGACTCAGCTCTCGAGGAAACAGACCTACCCTGAAGTCCGTCTTCGATGTACCATGGACCCCGTGAAAATGACCGTGACCCCCCCACCCACTCGTCGTCACCGCCGTAGAGCTTCCCAGTCCCGCCGTGCCCACCGCCCAATAGCTTGGGCCCCTGACACTGATGAGGAGAGGTCTCCTCCACATCAGCACCAGGCAATCTGCTCCCACCACTGCGATGGTCCTAAGGACTGGGAAAGCTTCCAACCCCTGCAGGAGATCTGGGAACCCTGGACTCAGGATGAGCAACCTCCCCAGACCATCCGTTTCCAACCAACAGTAGAGGGAAGGCCTCTCAAAACAGAGATCCGGTCAGAGCAGGGCCTAGAGGCCTATGTGTACACTGTGAACCCCCCGCCTCCCAGCCCAGAGGCTTTGAGCCATAAAAACAATGGGGTGGGGCCAGGGGCAGGTGCTGAGGGTGAGCAAGCCCAGTGCCAGCCTGCCTCACCAGCCTTCCTGGGTCCAGCGAATATCCCCGAAATACCTCGGCGCCGTTCCTCAGGCCGAATAGTGTATGACGCCCGAGATATGAGGCGCAGGCTTCGAGAACTGACCCGCGAGGTAGAAGCTTTGTCCCACTGTTACCCCTTGGTTTCTGGATCCAGCACAGTTGAGGGGACAAGCAAAGATTGGGTGTATCGTCCCCTGAAGGGGAGATGACTGGGGAAAAAATAAAAAAGGAGAGGAGGTAGTTTGTGGTGGTCTGGGGGAGGGCCCTCACAGTGCCCAGAATCCCTGGTTGCTGAGAATGACCTCCCTTGAAACAGGGCCTAGAGAGCCCTGGAGACCCTTGTCAGCTTCTTGCCTTCATAGGCCCTGTCCTGAGCCCTCCTCAAGGCCCTTCTTGGTTCCAAGACTCCCAACTGCCTCTACCCTGTTTTCTTCAGTGCCCAGAGAAGCCACCAAATTCAGCCAGATCCCCAGGCAGTCCTAAACCAGAGGAAGGACCTCAGGCCCCATGGCCCTAGCTCAGAGGTCTAAGGAGCCCAGGTTTAGGCTCCAGATCCAGCGGAAACAGGGGTCCCTCTAATGCTCTAGCTTCTTTGGGCAAAGATGGTTGTGAGGGAGGGTCTCCAGGCCCTCACCATCTTCTCGTCAGAACCTGAAGTTCCTGCAACCCTTGAGAATAGACTTAGAAGCGGTAGGTAAAATAATTGGGGCACTCTTAAAGAGACGCCGTCCCTAATGTCCCAGGCTTCTGCGGTTTTATGCCTCTTCATGTCCACAAAGGAAAGGTGGAGTCTCCAGTCTATGACTTGCTTGTGGCCACAGATATCAGGGGCCATGTTCACAGCCTTAAGACTTTCTACCCCCACATCCCCATTCCTGCTAGTGGATCAGCCCAGCCTACATTTTACCATGTGACCTCCAAATATTCCATCCACTGGACAGACAGAAATGACTCCTGATCTGCTGTTAGACTGGCTGAGACTCTCCTATGCATGTGCACACATAATCTTGGGAACAAGAAATCATGTGACCCCAGGCTGAAGGTACTGGACATCACCTTTCATACTAGATGGATTCCTGGAATGTGAGCATACTTTCTGTGAATCACCTTGTTTTTCTGTTTACATCCAGCCAGAGTTACTGAAGTTGAGTAGTAGCACAGGCCTGTAATCCCAGGACTCGGGAAGCTGAGGCAGGATGATCACTGCAAGTTTAAAGCCAGACAGGTTTACATACCCAGTTCTAGGCTAGATGGGGCTACAATAGCAAGACATCAACCATATCAGCAAAACAAAACACACGAACAAAGGTGATTGATCGTTTCAAGTTATTTTTATTCTATGGGCACATAGTAAGCACATACTGTGTATTTGGAGACCATAAGAAACACCTTTCCTCCATGTCTGCTAAATAGTTTGCTGTAGGAAACATTCTTGGTTGGCAGGTGGAAGCAGGAAGATCAAGGAGCTCAAGGAATTCCTTAACTACGAAGTTTGCCAAGGTCACCCTGGTTTATATGAGACCCTGTCTCAAAACAGCAGGGAAAATGACTGTTGGCAGGGTGGTGGTGGCACATGCCGATAATCCCAGCACTCTGGAGGCAAAGGTAGGATGCTTATTGCAAGTTCAAGGCCAGTTTGATCTTGAGTTCCAGGCCAGGAAGGATTACATAAGACCCTGTTTTATCTTTTTGAGACAGGGTCTTTTTACTGTGTAGCTTTGGCTGGCCTAGAAGTCACTGTGTTGATCATGGTTGGTCTTGAACTCATAGAGATCCGCCCTGCCACTGCCTCTGGAATGTGGGTTAAAGGCATGTGCCACCATACCTGGCCTCTTTTTTTCTTTTTCTTTTTAAAGATTTTTATTTTTTAAATTAGATGTCTATGTGAGGGCAGATATGTGCACCTGAGTGCAGTTGCAGTGGAGTCCAGAAGAGGGCATCTGATCCTCTGGAACTGAAGTTCTAGGTAATTGTGAGCCACCCAACCTGAGTACTGGGAACTACATGTGGGTCCTCTGCAAGAGCAGTATGCACTCTGAACTGCTGAGCCATCTCTGTGTCTCCTGCTAGATTCTATCATTAAAACAAACGCAAACAACCCACACTTGCAATCTGGGTGCTACGTTCATGGATAAGTGATTGTTAACCTTTGTTATATCAACAATTACATCATTTTATACTTTGTTAACTGTGTGGACTGTTTAATTTTTTTCTCTAGTGCTGAGTAAACGTGTTTGGCAAGTACCCTACCTCTTCACTACACTGGTGTGTGTGTTTGTGTGTGAGATTTAGATGGTACCACTAGCTCCAGGAGGGCCTGGAACTCGACCTCTTCTTGCCTCAGCCTCTTCAGCAGCTAGGATTGACAAGCACATGCTTGTCATCGCTACCATGCTGTGCCGTGGTTTTCTTAAGGTGGCAGTTGGTGGCTTTTCGGCTTGGAGTAGGGGTGGATTGACGGGCAGACAGTTTCTTGGGAAGGAAGGAGGACCACAGTGGGTGTTGGTAGTTGGCAGGGACAGCAATCTCAGCAAGGTGGACGTCTGTATGATGCTGAAGCAAATGAGCCAGCACTGGACACGGGAGATTAGGACGAAGAAATGGTCAGGATGGGGAAGAGCTGGCACTGCTATGTGTCATTGTCCCTTTCGATGTCGATCTCAAAGCAGGCACGAGATGCGACATATCAACAGCCTACACGTGTGGCTGTGTTTCAGAAGAGCAATGAAATCCTTTATGGATATTTTGACTCTGTGAAGATTGTCTCATGACTATAGCTGCCATACTTTCTGATCAGGAACCAGATGTGGGGTTAAGAGTGGAGGCGGAGAAGACTGAACTCCAGTACCTCGGGGCCATGTTCTATCAAATGGAAGGCAAGGATTAAAACTTGTCATGCAAGCCGGGCGGTGGTGGCGCACGCCTTTAATCCCAGCACTCGGGAGGCAGAGCCAGGCGGATCTCTGTGAGTTCGAGGCCAGCCTGGACTACCAAGTGAGTTCCAGGAAAGGCGCAAAGCTACACAGAGAAACCCTGTCTCGAAAAACCAAAAAAAAAAAAAACTTGTCATGCAAGGGGTCACATTAGTGAATGAAAGAGCTGCTACCTCTCCATTATGACTCCAACCTGCCTCATTATGACCTGGCTCCCTCTACCAGATAGTAAGCATCTCTTGATACTAGCATGAATACAGTGTGGGTTGGGTTGGGCTGGGTGGGGGGGTGGCTTGGCCCAGGTGGCCTTAGGACCCCCCCACCATGGAAAACCAGCTATGGCTGGGCACCCTGGGATGCTGCAATCAATACCCAGACAGCCCCCAGGATGCTGAAGACATCTTATTCCTGCTGCTGGGTCTCATCATTCTTGTCAACATCGGCATCAACGTGACAACTGTGGTCAGTGGTTACTGTGGCTCACCCATAGGGATGAAGACGGCTGAGTAGAGAAGCCAGCTACAGGCTTGCTCCACTTGCAGAAATGGGTGGGATTGTTGGGACTGGAGATGGTATTAGAAAGCCGGTCTTCACTCCCATCTCCCCACCACCCCCAGATGTGGCATGGGCTCCAGAACGCCTTAGACAAGATGACCTTTTGGATGAATCAGAACAGTAAGTATGCTAGACAATAGGCACACACACACACACACACACACACACACACACACACACACACACACACACACGGCTCCTTAAAAAAAAAAAAAAAAAACAGGGCCAAAGTGTTCTTAACCCTGAACTTTTTGGCTCCTGTTCTGCAGCAGATGAAGTCCAGGCTACCGAATATCCCCGGAGAGAGCTCCCAGCCAACGTCCAGGACGTGCACATCCATTGTATCCTGGACCCTGTACAAGTGAAGATGGCGCAACCCACACACTGCTCCTCTTCCTCCTACCACTACCTCCGTCGGCGCTCTAGCGGCAAGCATCGCCGCCGCAGGCGCTGCCGCAGCCGCCACCCACCGGGCAGCCACATCCGCTTCCCACCGGGCCGCTACAGCCACCAGCGGAGGCTCCGAAACAACAGGCCGCTCTCCCGTCGCTGCCTACCCTTCTGCAAGCAACCTCAAAGCCGCAGGACGTCACAGCCCAGGCCGCTGCCCTTTCTTGACCTGGAAGACCGGGATTCCCTTCCGGAGGATGACCAGTCCTGCCCGCACTCCAAACGCCCCTCCAGGGGCTGGGGCGGTTTTTATAAGCCCGTAGGTCTGGCCTCCAATGTGGGGCTGTGGGGCCGCCAGGGTGGAATCCTGGCCAGCCTCCCGCAGCCCTCTCTCTACCTGTCCCCGGAGCTGCGCCGCTTGCCCAAGCGGGTAGAGGCCAAGTCGGAGCTGAGGCTGCAGACTTTCGGCCCCCGTTACTCCCAGTCCCGGATTTGGGGTAACGTGGAAGCTGAGCCGAGGGCCTCATCCCCGGCACCTGCCCGCTGGCCGCTTCCTAACCCCTCCTGGGTCACTGTGGGCTACAGTCCTTTCTCTTCAGGGGGGCACGTACCCCACGATGCCCGGGAGCAGCGGCGGCGTGGGGTGGAAGGCTCTGAGCCACCGCCGGCCTTCGTGAGCAGGAACCCCAGGCCAGAGGCCCAGGGCTACCGGGAGCACAGCTCCTCCCAGGCCCACCGGCAGACCCTCCCTAGCTACACTCACAGCCAACCCAACTACAGCCCACCGCAGTCCACAGGACACATGGGTTACAGCTCCCGGGAGTCCCACGAGATCCGCAGGCGGACAGCCGACTGGACTGACGTTTTTCCCTCTCGGCGGCACCCTCTGACCACTTCTACCTCCCTCACGGCGTTGGGTGAGACTTCCTACCAAAGGGCCCCAGCTGCCAGCTCCGGCCTGATGATCCCCCACTCCTCCCAGGCCTCGCCTGAAGTGCAGGCTTCTGATCCAACTCCACCTCCAACCACCTTTATTCCACTCAGTCGGAATCCAGGTGGCAATGCCAGCTACCAGGTGTACGACAGCCTGGAGCTGAAGAGGCAGGTGCAGGAGAACAGAGGGCGGGCTAGCTCATTGCCACCACCTTCGACCTCAGCCTCAAGGCCCTCTCTGCATAGAAGTCGGACAGGGAAACTTAACTGACCAGCACGTGAATGGGGGCAGTGGAGCGGGGCATGGAGAAAGGAATAAAGAGTCGAGAAACCCTTGTTGGTGGTTTGGAAGTACCTCTCCTTTCATCAGCCTGGGATTCCTGATGTGAGAAACCAGCCGCTCCTTGGCATGCTGTTCCCGCCAGGAGCCCCCTTTCGATCGTGTCTGAAATGTCTTAAACTGTAAACGGCAAACTACAGGTCTTCAGAGCACCCACCTCGCTTCAGTTCTTCCATTTCCCAAAAGGGACTGGCCCAGCTCTGCTGAGATCCGGACTTAGAGAAGGTGGCTCTTTGGCTGAGTGCGGGCTGCTTTTGCAGAGGACCTGGGTTCGGTTCCCAGCGCCCACGTGATGACTCATAACCATTTGTAACTCCAGTTCCAGGGGACCTAATATCCTCTTGACCTCCATGTATACCAGGAATACATGTGGCACACATATAAGCAGTCAAGACACTCATATACATAAAATAAATTTTGGGGAGAAAGGGAGAAAAAGAAACTGAGGTCAGACACCAGGCAGATAAAAGCTTAAGGCCAAGTGTAGGAAGAAGACCAAGGCTCTAGGTTTCAGCCAGGTCTCTGAGGTCAAAGGCTTCCCAGTCTTAGGCGTGATCGAGGGGTGAAATTCTGGGTTTTCAACTGCGGGAATGATGGTATGAGGCATGTTTGAGCTGAGTGAATCTGAACACTGTGGGGGAGTAGTTGGTAAAAGGGAGAGGTGCTGGCCAGCCTATAGGTATAGGTTACCCAGGATTGGTTACCAGGGAACTTCATTCTGGGCTCTTCTCTTCCACCAGCTCATTGTGATCCCAATCACCTGCCCCATTATGACTCAGTCTTCCTCCCCTCCCCCACTAAGGGAGTCTGCCTCCCAGTATGTGGGGGCTACGGGGCCTAGGTAGTCCTGGGACCCCCTGTCATGGGTGAACAAGTCTACCATGGAGCCCAAGCATGCTCTGGCACCAACCTCAGGAAATGCCAGGATTTAGGAGATTCAATTCTTCTGATTCTGGGCAGCTTCATCTTGCTCAACGTGGGAATCAATGTGGTGACTCTGGTCAGGGCAGGGTCTAGGCAGCAGGGTGGAGGGGGCTCTGGGCTTTGTTTGGTTGTTTGTTTTGAGACAAAGTCTCACTATGTGGCCCTGTTTGAATCCCAAACTTAAGATCTTCCCGCCTAGGTCTCCTGAGTTCTGTAATTATAGGCATGTGCTACCATGCTTAGCCTGAGAGCTGGGTTGTTCAAGGGGCTGATGTGGGAGGGCCGCTGGGACATGGCCAGACAAACGTCAACCTTCAGGGCTCACTCCACTTCTGGGCTCTCCTTCCTCTGCTTCCCTCAGCTCTGGAAGCATCTGAAGAACTCACTGCGGATTCTATTCCATCATTTTTTCCCCAAAGGTGAGTGGGCTCCTGCAGGGTCTCCTGGAGATGTGGCTTGTCCCCTTTGTCACTATCCCAATTCCCACCTGGGCACCCTGTCTTTTCCCATCCCCCTCTCTCTGCAGACAAGCAACCTGCTGATCTAAACAGCCGATCCATGTGCATGCGGTGCACTGCAGACCCCAAGAACCTGTACTCAAGGATTTCTTCCCGATTTCCCCGCCGCCCCAGTTTCCTGCTTGGCCATGCCAATTACTTTGACTCTTGGGTACCAGACACAAACGACGAGAACATTTCTAGGTGCTGCTGGATGCCACCGCAATGTGGACATGGCAGAGCTCCCACAGAAGCTCCGTGGGAACTGTGGAAAGAGGGACCGATGGGAGCTGGGGAAGCCCCTCAGGCCACAGTCATGAAGACCCAGGATCCTTTATTTTCCAGGCCAGAGATTTCTCCCCAGATTCCAAAAATACACAAGCTGAACATGGTTCCACCTTCTTCACCCCAAGAGAACAAGATTAAGGCACCAGATGACAGTCCACCCCATGCTCAAGCCCAGGCTCTAACCTATTCTTTGACCAACACCCACGAGCTCCCCTCTGCTCAGTCCCAGACTCAGACCTCAGAACCCACTCAACTCAGGGCACAGGGTCGTGAGCACACCCCGCCAATCCATGCACCTGATCTTGTCTCAGCTCCTATCCCAGCCCTCAGTGAGGCCCCAATACCAGCCAATGCTTCACCTCCAACCCCATCCCATAACCCAGCCCCCACCCCATCCTATCCCCCAGCCCAGGCCCCAACCCATAATCAAGCCCATATCTTGGATCAGGCCCAGCCCCACATCCCGCCCTGTATCACACTCCAGGTACCAGCCCCAACCCAAACTCAGGGTTTAGCCCACAGCCCTGAGCAACCCTCAGCCCATACATTACCTCAATCCCCAACCCAGGCTCCTGCACATGCTTCCTTCCAGTCCCCAGGCCACAACCCAGTCCAAATCCTAGTACACACCTTGACCCACCCCCAAACTAATGTCCCTGAGCAAACAACATCTCAAGCCTCAACACATGCCCCATCCCATTCCCTACTTCATTTGTATGACCGTATCCCAGTGCCTAGCCCGACCCCTGCCCCAGCCCCTGTCCCAGCCCGCTCCCCAGCCCCTGCCCTAGCACTGTCCATGACCGTGACTACTACTCAAGCCTCTGCTCAAGTCCCTGTCACCACCTCTAACCCTACCCTACCTCCTGTTCCTTCTGTGCTGGCTACCTTTGACCCCAGCTTCTCCACTGGCCATATGGTCTCTGATGCCCGCAGAGTAAAGCAGAACGCCTTCCTTAAGCACGACTCCGAGAACTCGAGGTGTTTCAGGAAGGACTTGAACATCCTCTCCAGGCCCCAAGAGGTGAAGGGCCTGGTAAATTCTGGTACTGCTGAAGAGACACAAAAGCGGCATGGTGGGGGCCGTGCCGAGCCTCCTGCCGGGCCTATACTTGGTTACCTCAAGTTGGGGAACGTGGACTGGAAGACCTCAGACAATGCCAAAGAGAAGTTCTCCCAGCCCAAGACCTTCCCTTACTCCAGCTTTCACCCCTGCTGTTCTGAGAGCAGAGGCGAAGACTCCCAGGCTCCAGTCTACCCCAAGTTCCTGGTCTACACCCAGAATGTCACTCCCTCTAAACCTTGCTTGCATACTCCAAGTGCTGCTCAGAGCACACTGCCCACCACCCCACCCCCGTGCACGCTCGCTCTGCCGCTAGTTTCTCCCAGAACATTTGTTGTTCCTCAGTCGAACCCTCAGAAGCCCTCCAACTTACCACAAACTCCCACCTTTCTCTCAACCTCCAAGTCTCCTCAGACTGTCTCTTCCCCTCATTTCCCTGTCCCTTCTCAGTTCTCCACCATTTCTCAAACCTTAATCCAACCCCCAAACCCTGGGAATCAAAACCTTAACCAAGGCTTTGGCCTTCAAAAGACCCAATCCCTTGCCAAGGAATCTAGAGTTCCCAGGAACCCAGGCCTTACCCAAGTTCCAGGCCTCCAGAAGAACCCAAGCCTTGTCCCAAATCCAGGCCTCCGGAAGAACCCAAGCCTTGTCCCAAATCCAGGACTCCAGAAGAACCCAGGCCTTACCCAAGTTCCAGGACTCCAGAAGAACCCAAGCCTTACTCCAAATCCAGGCCTCCAGAAGAACCCAGGCCTTACCCAAGATCCAGGACTCCAGAACAACCCAGGCCTTACCCAAGATCCAGGACTCCAGAAGAGCCCAAGTCTTGCCCCAAATCCAGGACTCCAGAAAAACCCAGACCTTACCCCAAATCCAGGACTCCAGAAGAACCCAGGCCTTACCCAAAACCCAGGCCTTACCCTGAATCCATGCCCCCACAAGAACTCAGGTTTCTACAACTTTCCAGGCTATACTCAAGATCCTTACCTCTGCACAAATCCAAACATTTCCCAAGACCCTTGCCTTCAAAAGAATCTAGGTACCACTCCAGATTCTGGCCTGAGGAGTTCAGTTGCTATCCAAGATGCTGGTGCCCTTAGGAACTTAGGTTTCATCCAACCTTCCAACCTCCACAAGAATATAATATTCAATCAAACATCTGGTCAGAGAACTTTGAGCTTTATGCAAGACTCTGTGGTCTACAGGAATGGTGCATTAACCCAAGACACTGTAATCAACAAAAATAAAGGTCTCTCCCCAGTAGGGGACCAAAAGTGGCCAGACTCCTCTCACAATTCTGGAGGTAACAATTGTTCAGGAAATGTACAACATCCAGGAATCTGTAGGAATGTAGGCCTTACCCAAGACTCTAGACCACAGAAGAACCCGTGCCATACCCAAGACTCTGAAATTAACAAAAACTCAGGACTTATCCAGGAGTCTAGTTCCCCCAAGAGCCCAGGCCGTGTCCAAATCTCTTACCTTCATAAGAGCTCAGGTTTCACACAGGACTCAGGAGATTACAAGAATTTAGGCCTTCCTCAAACTCCTGGAATCTACAGAGTCCCAGATCTAAACCAAGACACCAACTCCCACAAGAATCCCTGCCTAATCAATGTCACCACAGCAGAAAGAAGATCGGACCTAAACCAAGATGTTGGCATTTACAGTTCAGAACATGGCCGAGATTCTAGCCATCATCAGAACCCGGCAATTGGCCAAGGCTCTGACTTCAAGACTCCAGGCATTACCCAGCAGGTTGGCCCCTATAAGGACTCAGGCCTTACCCCGGACTCCGGCCTCAACAAAAAAACAAGCTTTGCTCCAGGTACTGGTTCTGCCCAAGTCTTGGGCCCACTTCAGATACTAAAGCTGGCATCTTCCCCAGTGAAATCCCTTGTATGTAAAATGAATCCTCAGAAGGACAATACAGAGCAGCAGGTGTCCCGGACTTCTGTCCCAGTCGACCAAGGCCCCTGCCCTTCCAAGGCCCAAGTGCTCTCCCCTGACCTGAAAACTTTGTCAGAGGTACCTGTCGTAATTGAACTGCAACCACCCTCCCGGCGGTTAGACAGCCAGGACTGGGTATACCACACTGTAGATACCGTCCCTTCAGCCGGCCAGAAGTATCGCCAGATGTCTATGCCTCCCAAAATCAACTGGAAGCCCCATTGCCCTGGACCAGGCACCCGGATAGGTCATGTGGTCTTTGATTCCCGCCAGAAACAGTCAGTAACTGGCAGGGAAAAGTGTGAGGCTCTGTCTCCCAGGCGCTCGCGTCAAGAAGCAATTAAAAACTCAGAGGAGACCCAGAAGGAATGGGGGTATCAAAATGTGATGAGGACCTTGGACAAAGAAGGGGCAAATATGCATCAGGAATAAAGAGGCAAGAGAAGAAGCATTCTGTGGTTGTTTGAGGCTCTTCATCCCAGCACTACCATTTATATTGACCATCCTCATCTTAAAGAGACATGGAATTAACACGCCCCTATTTTTTCTCCACAGCTCCATAGTCAAGCCCATTCTCTTCCAGGCTCAAGAGCTGTGTTTTAGGGGAAAAAGATAGTAGCCACTATCCAAATGTGACTAATAGGATGTCAATTAAAATTGAAAATTCTCACCAAGCATTGTGTTGCACATCTCTAACGCCAGCACTTGGTAGGTGGAGGGAGGAAGATCAGGAGTTCAAAGCCATCCTCAGCTACATAATGAGTTCAAAATCAGCATAGTCTACTTGGGACCCTGTATCAAAAAGAAAAAAAAAAAAAGGATTCTGAGGGGCCTGGAGAGATGCCTCATCTGTTAGGAGCACATATTGCTCTTCTAGAGGACTCAGGTTCAATTCCCAGCACTCACCTGGTGGGTGAGTAGTAGTTTGTAACTCCAGGTCCAGGAACTGAATGCCATCTCATCTTCTGGTGTCTGTGAGCACTGCACACATGGTACACAGACATATATGCAGGCAATTACCCACACACATAAAAAAAATACATTTAAGGTGGGCATAGCAATGAACGCCTTTAATCCCAGCACTCAAGAGGCAGAGGCAGGTGGATCTCTGTGGGTTCAAGACCAGCCTGGTCTACATAAGCTCTGGGATAGGGCTGCATAGACCTGGTCTCAAAAAAGAAAAAAGAAAATCTGAGCTGGGTAGAGTAGTGCACACCTGTAAGATCAGAATGTAGAAGGCTGAGGCAAGGTGATTTCCATTCTGAGTCCAGACAGAGCTACATAGCAAAGGCCTGGCTCAAAAGACAGAACCAGCCGGGCGGTGGTGGCGCACGCCTTTAATCCCAGCACTCGGGAGGCAGAGCCAGGCGGATCTCTGTGAGTTCGAGGCCAGCCTGGTCTCCAAAGCGAGTTCCAGGAAAGGCGCAAAGCTACACAGAGAAACCCTGTCTCGAAAAACCAAAAAAAAAAAAAAAAAAAAAAAAAAAAAAAAAAAAAAAAAAAAAAGACAGAACCAATTTAAATTCTGTTCTTCAGTTGCTACATTTTTGAGTTCTGACAGCCACATGTAGCCAGACAGCAAAGACTCAGGACATTTCCGTCATAGAAAAAAAAAATTGAGACAGGCTTTTGCTTTGTAGCCAAGGCTAGCTATTAATTCCTTCTATAGCCTATGCTGGCCTCGAATTTGCAAACCTGCAGCCTTAGCATGATGAGTGCTGAGATTATAGGTGTGCACCATCATGAGTGTGCACCATCATGAGTTCTGAGATTGTAGGTGTGCACCATCATGAGTTCTGAGATTGTAGGTGTGCACCATCATGAGTGTGCACCATCATGAGTGCTGAGATTGTAGGTGTGCACCATCATGAGTGTGCACCATCATGAGTGCTGAGATTGTAGGTGTGCACCATCATGAGTGTGCACCATCATGAGTGCTGAGATTGTAGGTGTGCACCATCATGAGTGTGCACCATCATGAGTGCTGAGATTATAGGTGTGCACCATCATGAGTGTGCACCATCATGAGTGCTAAGATTATAGGTATGCACCATCATGAGTGTGCACCATCATGAGTGCTGAGATTGTAGGTGTGCACCATCATGAGTACTGAGATTGTAGGTATGCACCAACAATACACCTGGCTTTTTTACAGGAGGAGGAGGAAGTTGATTCTCTCTGTCTCTGTCTCACACACACACTGTAGCTCAGGTTATCCTGATGCTCACTGTGTTATGTATTTGTCTTTTGACAAGGATACCTGGGAGACAGCTTCTTCACACTTTCCCTGCCAGTCACTGTTTCTGGTGGGAATCAAAGACCACATGACCTGTCCAGGTGCCTGGTCCAGGGCAATAGGGCCTCTAGTTGATTTTGAGAGGCATAGACATCTGGTGAAACTTCTGGCCGGCTGAAGGGACTGTACCTATAGATACAGGCTGGCCTCATATTGGAGACAAACTTCTCCTGCCTCAACTTCCTGAGCATTAGGATTACAGGTATGAGCCACCACACTGAGGATCATTCTTTTCTTTAAAGACTGGGCATGGTGATGTATGCTTATAACCTCAGAATGTAGGAGGTAGAGGCAGGAGAATTAGGAATTCAAGGTCAACCACTACTACATAGTAAATTTTAGGAAAACTTGACCTACATGAGACCCTGTCTTAATAAAAAGAAAGGAAAGGGGTCCGATGAGATGGCTCAGAGGGCAAAGGTGCTTGCTGCCAAGCCTGATGTGAGTTTGATCCCTGAGTAGAAAAAGATAATTATTCCAAGGAGTCCTCTGAGCTCCACGAGCAAGCTGTGCATCGATGTGCACATGCACAAACACACAAAATAAGAATGTAATTAGAAAAAAAGGGAAGCAGGGCGGAGGTGGTGCACAGCTTTAATCCCAGCACTCAGGAGGCAGAGGCAAGTGGATCTCTGTGAGTTCAAGGCCAGCCTGGGCTATAGAGTGAGTTCCAGGACAGCCAGAGCTACACAGAGAAACCGTGTCTCCAAAAACAGAAGAAGATGAAGAAGAAGAAGAGAGAGGGAGGTTGGCCAGATTGCTGAGTGGGTAGAGCAGTCAAGCCTGATGACTTGAGTTTGATCCTCGGGATATACATGATGGAAGGAGAGAACCAGTCTCCACAGCTGTCTTTTGACCTACACACACACACACACACACACACACACACACACACACACACCACACACACCACGCACATGCACATGAGAAAGAGAAATAAGGGTTTTTTTTTGAGACAGGGTTTCTCTGTGTAGCTTTGCGCCTTTCCTGGGACTCACTTGGTAGCCCAGGCTGGCCTCGAACTCACAGAGATCCGCCTGGCTCTGCCTCCCGAGTGCTGGGATTAAAGGTGTTCGCCACCACCGCCCGGCGAGAAATAAGTTTTAAAAATAAAAAAGAGTTCTATTTTATTAGAAATTAATGCTTTAGAGTTCTCTGTAAAGAACACTCCTTTTTTATCCATTCCCAATGTTTTCATTTATTTATTATGTACTTTTTTTCTTTCTTTTTGGTTTTTCGAGACAGGGTTTCTCTGTGTAGTTTTGGTGCCTGTCCTGGATCTCTCTCTGTAGACCAGGCTGGCCTCGAACTCACAGAGACCTGCCTGGCTCTGCCTCCCGAGTGCTGGGATTAAAGGTGTGCACCACCACCGCCCAGCGAATCTTGTTGATTTTTCGAGTGGTTCAGAAAGATATACACAGATTCCCTATGCCTGGTAACCCAAACTGTGAGCCCAGCCTTCAGGGACTGGAGAGAGGGCTCAGTAGAGAAGATTGCTAGCTGCCCTTGCAGAGGACCCAGGTTCATTTCCCAGCGTCCACACAGTGGCTCACAGTCATCTGTAATTCCAGTTCCAGGGGATCCAGTGCACTCTTCTGATTTCTGAAGAAATATCTACATGTAGGTAAAAACACTCATACACGGAGCTTGAGAGCAGTTAAGAGAACTCAGGCTCAATCCCTAGTACTCACATGGTGGCTCACAACCATCTGTAACTCCAGTCCCGTGGGATCTGAGGCCATCTTCTGCCTCCAAACGCTCTAGGCACACAAACGGCACACAGACACACACTCAGGCAAAACACCCATACACAAAAGTAAACAAACAAAAAACAAAACAACAACAAAAAATAAACAAACAAACAAACAGTCCTGACTCCTCTTGATCTGGCCTCTTGGGTCACAGATATATCTGCTCCAAGTTCCTTCAGTTTCCGCATGAGGCTGAAGGGGAAGGGTGCCCCCTTGGCAGTGACTTGAAATCCTTTCAGTCTGGGCTTCCCAGGTACTCTGTCTGGTTCCAGGAATTTCTTTACAGATTCCCCCCACCCCAGTTTTGGGGTAGTGTCTTAATTTAGGCTAGGTTCACCTGGAACTCAGTCCGCATCTCAGGTGTGTGGTGGTATTGTGTTCCCCAAAATATTGTGAACCCTAATTAACTTATCTGGGGTCAGAGACAGAACAGCCACAATATTAAACATAGAAGTTAGGCAGTGGTAGCACACGCCTTTAATCCTAGCATTCCAGAGGCAGAAATCCATGTGTTCAAGGATACAGCTAAGCATGGTGACTCACGCCTTTAATCCCAGAAAGCAAGCCTTTAATCCCAGGGAGTGGTGGTAGAAAGCAGAAAGGTATATAAGGTGTGAGGACCAGAAACTAAAGGCATTTGCCTGGTTAAGCATTTGGCTGGTTAAGCTTTCAGGCTTTGGAGCAACACAGTTCAGCTGAGATTCATTCTGGATGAGGACTCAGAGGCTTCCAGTCTGAGGAAACAGGACCAGCTGAGGAATTGGCAAGATGAGATAGCTGTGGCTTGTTCTGTTTCTCTGATCTACCAGCATTTCACCCCAATACTTGGCTCCGGGTTTGATTTTATTAATAAGAACTTTTAAGATTCCTGTTACACAAGTGAGTCTCTAGTTCATGGCAGTCCTGCCTCAGCTGCCCACGTGCTGGGATTATAAATCTGAATCACAACACTTGTCACAGTCCTCTGGCTTTTCAAGACGTCCCAGATTAATGATCAGAGGCGGATGGCGTGTAAGAAGCCCCGGCCTGGTCAAGGGTCTGGTCTATGAGCCTACTGCGTGTTTACTGGTTTACTATCTGAGCCATTATCACGCTCTCAGCCCCCACCTGTGTTTGTGCTATCTTCTGATCCTTATTCTGGTCTCTGGTAGCATAGGTTACTGGAAGTAATATCCTGCCCTAGATTTTGTGGCCTGACCTGACGTTGCTGGGAGTTTCCTCTGGACTTCAATTTCAGTTCTAATGGCCTCTGTGTCCACCGAACTTCAAATCCCCATGTGTTTTCCCTGCCATGATTCTGCATGTCTGATGTGAGCATCACTGGTTACAATCCCCCTCCACAATTCAGATGCCCTCTTCTGCGTCACATTGTATATTCCTGCCTTAGTATTACGGCCACTGATTCCAGGAAGATGCCTTGCCACCAATCCAGAGAGCCTTTTCTCAACCTGTCTCACTAACTCTGACCCTGGACATGTCATATGCATTATTATTACTTTTTTTTTTTAAAGACAAGTTCTCACCATGTAGCCCTGGCTGTCCTGGAACTCTCTATGCAGACCAGGCTGGCCTTGAACTCACAGAGATCTGCCTGCTTCTGCATCTCAAGTATTGGGATTAAAGGTGTACGTCACCATGCTCAGCTTTTTCCTTTTTAAAAAGAGTCTAAATTGCCCAGACTGGCCTTCAGCCTTCGGTCCTCCCAGCTCCACCTCCCAAGCCTGGCACAGCTTTTCTAAAGCACAGTCTTTAAAATGACCAGGGATCTTTAATATCAGCACTCAAGAGGCAGAGGCAGGTGGATCTCTGGGAGTTCGAGACCATGATATACATAGTTTCAGGCCAGCCACAGCTATAAAATGAGGCCCTGCCTCAAGTAAATAAACAAACTAAAATAAAATAAAGTCAGAATTTCCTTAAAAGAGAGAGCTTCATCTAAGAGACCATGGAGCCTCACAAATGGAATGAAGTGTGTGTTCTTCATTATTGTTTACTATTCAGAGCCAACCAATTATCCCTCTTCTCCAATTCCAAGGAGTGTTTATGTAGGATTGATGAGACAGAACAATATATTGTCACAAAACAACTTCCAGCTGGGTGTAGTGGCATGAGCCTGTAAATCCAGCACCAAGGAAGCTGAAATAGGAAGCTTGCTGTGAGTTCAGGGTCAGCCGGAGCTACATAGTGATTCCAGGCCAGCATGGGCTACATAACAAGACTTTTTTGTTTTTCGACACAGAGTTTCTCTGTGTAACAGCCCTGGCTGTCCTGGAACTCTGTAGACCAGGCTGGCCTCAAACTCACAGAGATCCATCTGCATCTGCCTCTGCCTCCTGAGTCCTGGGATTACAGGTGTGTGCCACCACCGCCGACTTAAGACTTTTATAAAGTTAAAAAAAAAAAAGAAGTCAAGCCTGGTACTGTACGCCTGTGATCCCAGAACTCAGGAGGCAGAGGCAGGCTGAGTTCTGTGAGTTGCAGTCAGTCTGATCTACATAGCAAGTTCCAAGTCGTCCAGAGCCACACATTGAAAACACAATCTCAAAACAAAACAAAACAAAAGTGAAGGGGGCGGGAGGTGGGAAAGGAAAAAGAAATACAGCGTCCAATAGGCACTACTTTTAGCACAATGGCAAGGGTGTGTAGGGACCGCTCCAACACACCAGTATTGCGGGGAAACAAACTACAACTCCCAGGGTAGCAACATCTCAGCAGGGTGAAAGGCGGGACTGAACTCTCATAGGAGGCGGGACCAGTCCAGAACCACCCAGACAGCTTCCAGAAAAGGGCGTGGACATGTGACCATCAGGAAGTTACCTGTAGAATCTTTTACGGTGTTTTCTGTTCACAACCTTTTAAGCTACCCCTTAATCGGAAAGCCGTGGACCAATGAGCCTCTTCTGAAAAAAAGGTAAAGGGAGTGGGACAAAGGGTGGTGGCAAAGATTGGCTACTGTGTTTCCCAGGAGGGTTCCAATAGCCATTCTTTACCTGCTGAGTCAGGTGAAGCGATTCACCGGGCCGCAACCTGCATCTAGGAAAAGGACGAAGAAAGTAGTCATCTGTTCATTTTGACGACTAAACGCAGAACGCATCATCTGCAAGACCCACTTGTGGACTGCCTTCCGCCCTTGCTCCACCTCGGAAGGAAGGGAAGACTGGAGAACTTTGGGGAGCCAAGCAAAGGCCTGCCAGGGCTAACTCGGATCTGTTTGCGCTAGCCCCAAACGATAGAGATCCATGGCTTCCACTGTATGGGGCGGTGCCCCCTGGTGGGGCCCGCCACCCCCAGCCCCAGCCCGGCCGCTCACAGACGTCGACTTCTGCTCTGGCGCCCAGCTGCAGGAGCTGACTCAGTTGATTCAGGAGCTGGGTGTCCAGGAGAGCTGGAGCGAAGGGCCCAAGCCTGGAGCTGATCTTCTCCGAGCCAAGGATTTCATTTTCTCTTTGCTCGGTAAGTAATTCTCAACTGTGGGAAGTTGCAAACCCCAGCCTCACCATTCCCCACCCCGACTCTGGACCACGATACCTTCACAGTCCCTTTTCTTCCTTTAGGTCTAGTTCACCGCCAGGACCCTCGTTTCCCACCCCAGGCAGAACTCTTGCTGCTTCGCGGTGGGATTCGCGAAGGCTCCCTAGATTTAGGGCATGCCCCCTTAGGTCCCTACGCCCGGGGACCTCATTATGATGCCGGCTTTACGCTCCTTGTGCCTGTGTTTTCTCTGGATGGCACTGGGCCGGAGCTGCTACTGGATCTGGAATCCTGTTATGCGTGGCTCCGCCTTCCAGAGCTGATGTGCGGAATTTCCGTCCGGGAGACCTGGCAGGATTGCCTAGGACCCCCTGTCGCAGAGGAATGTGATTTGACTCACCAAACCCATAGCAAAGAGAGTCCCACGGACCAGGAAAGCTCCGTAGACCAGGCACGTGATTATGTCCCTGAGCCTGAGCCGCACACATCTGTGGAAAAATCATCTAGTGACCTTTCAGGGTCCCAATCGCCTTACAATGACACCACCCATCTTGAAACTCCTGAACCATTGAAAACACTGAGTAGTGACGCCTTGGAAGACGACGAAAAGCCATCCCCAAAGCCGTCGGAGGCTGCGAAGGCATGGCCCACATTATGCCCTACCCAAGTGGCTGCCTGGTTCTTCGTTAAGCTGGCTGAGGTCGCTGAGTCCCTGATCCCGGTCCCAGGCGCCCCGCGGCTAGTTCACGCAGCTCGCCACGCGGGTGTCACCACGGTCCTCCTGGCCACTCCAGAGCCCCCACGCCACCTCCTGCTCTTCGACCTGATCCCGGTGGTGACCGTGACAGGCTGGCCTGACAGGGCTCGGAGCCACTCGTGGGCGGGCCCACTGGTCTCTGAGTCGGCTTCTTTCTACCTAGTGCCGGGCAGCCACCCGGGGCAGCCGGGCACCCCTGGATGGCAGCTGTGCTTCGCCCGCCAGGAGCTGGCGCTCAAAGCGCGCATCCCAGCGCCGCTGCTTCAAGCCCACGCGGCGGCCCAGGCGCTGCTGCGCCCGCTGGTGGCGGGGACCCGGGCCGCCGCGCCCTACCTCCTGCGGACCTTGCTCTACTGGGCGTGCGAGCGGCTCCCTGCGCTCTACCTGGCGCGGCCCGAAAACGCCGGCGCTTGCTGCCTTGGGCTACTGGATGAGCTGAGCCGAGTGCTCGAGGCCGGGACGCTGCCTCATTATTTTGTGAGCGGCCGAAAGCTCTGTATGGGAGACGGCTCGGCTGCCCTGCGCGGGGCATTGGCCCAGCTCCGCGGGGACCCCGCACAGGCCTTGCGCGAGGCGGTGGAGGAAGCCAAGGTTGCCCGCAAAGGGGGCGGTTTAGCGGGCGTAGGGGGCGGAACCCATTAAAGATTCTACTCTTAGGGAATGCGAAGTGTTTCCTTTGGCGATAGGGTTGTGGGGGGGACTGCTCCTGCTCCGCATACAGACTGTGCGTCTTGGGTCCACAGCCTCTTTTCTAAAAGGTCTCCCCCGGGGTTTTGCCCTGCCCGAGGCCCATGTTCTTCCAATCTGCCTGGCACCCCTCCTATCCCGGTGCTGCCTCCCGAGACATCTCCCCCGGATTCTTTCAGAGTCAACCGCGAACAGGAGGAATGGCAAAATGCGGGAACCGGCGTTTGGAAACCCGGTTCTGATCAATGTGGCTTACACCAAAGCAGAGAGATACTAAGGCCGGAGTACAGCCCAGACTGGATGGCACAGCCACCCCCGTTTCTCCACCCCCACCCGACCCCCACTTTCCTCATGCACTTCTGTCCTCACTGCCATCCCAGGTAGTAGGGTCCCTCTCCATTTTCTCACCGTCGGCCATCCCACTTAGCCCCCCGCCCCCCAGCCCCGCCGCTTCGGGCTTCCTTGTCTCGTTTCCCCTGCACCCCGAGACTGGCAGGCCTTGCCTCGACTCCGCCTGCCTCTGAACCGGTCCCCACTCGCAGCTCCCGAGGAACCCCAGGGTTCCGCCCGCCCGGCTTCGCCTCCCTCTTCCCCAGCGTCTCCGCCCCCTGCCCCGCCCCCGGGCCGGCTCGCAGAGGAGGGGGAGCTTCTGTCGCCGCCGCCGCCGCCGCCGCCACCGCTTCCCACAGCGCTGCCGCCGCCGCCGCCGCCGCCGCTCTGCCTGGTCCACCCTCCAGGCCCAGTGCTCTGACTTTGCGAACCGGGGCGCTCTGCAGAGACATCTTCACTCCTTCCTGGGGGTCCGGGACACCTAGGCCGGCGTTGGGGGGAACCTCTGCTTGCGGGTGACAGGGAGGGAGGAGCCTGGAGCCGGAGCCCGCGACACCCGTCGCCTGGATCAACAGGACAGGACAGGTTGAGGGGCGTCGGGGAAAGGAAGGGGTGCTCTGGCAGTCCCAGGAGGACGAGGAAGCCCTGTCGCAGGAAGCTGTGATGCGCTGGGACTTACTAAGGCCTGTTCACGTTTGAGGAGTGCTCACACACAACGTGGGCACTCCTCTCTGGGGGGGCCTGGTTAGACTGGAGGGTGTGGGATCTAAGCAGTGCCGGCTGCTCCTCGGGGGGAATTTAAGGGGCAGCCAGAAGACAAACAGAAACGACTGATGCTCCTGTTTCGGGGTGACCGAGGGTCCTCCAGACAACCACCTGGTGTATGCACTAGGAAGGGCTGATTTGGAGGTGACTTCAAAAGGAGTGGAGGGTAGCAAAGTGAGGAGATGGCCTCAGCAGCTGGAACCCTGGGGTACTAGAACCCCAGGTCCTGGAACCCTGTGAGAAAAAGCATTATCCAGCCAGAGGAACTGGGAACCCCTTCTCACTGGACCTAGACAGCCTGGGTATTGAGACATATTTGGGGGGATTTTTTGGGGAAAAAAAAGTGGGAGAGCCACTCCATTTAGAGTATAGCAAAGGGAAAAACATCAGGACTGGGTTCCTCTCTGACATTGACAGCAGCCCAGAGTGAACTGATGTCCCCAAAGCTAAAGACCCACACCCTTCAGAACACAAGAGTAGGCTGGGCAGGAGCGGCCCCAAAATAGGGGGGAAAGAAGTCTGAGGAGATTAAGAACACGTCTTGGAAATTTAGGAGGGTCTTGACTTTGGGACAGGGGAAGTGGGGACAGAGGCCAGAGAGGAGGGAAGGGGAGAGCTTTCATTCGGGGACAAAATTCATGGGTGAGGTCAGCTGAGGAGGGCACAGGCTGTTGGAGCGGCTGGAGCCAGGGGCAGGGCCCACGGGTGGGAGCTGGTGCTTGTGGGGGGAGGCAAGGGGGTCTGGGGCTTATCCTTAGGTCCTGTGGGTGGGGCGGTGGGGTGGGTCCAGAGCATGCCCTGGTGAGAGGGCTCCTCTAGGGGAGCCCAGGGCGCTCCGGGAGCCTGCTGGTTTCGGGGTGTCTCCTCCCGGGGCGCTATGGCGGCGCTGGCCAGTAGCCTGATCCGACAGAAGCGGGAGGTCCGCGAGCCCGGGAGCAGCCGGCCGGTGTCGGCGCAGCGGCGCGTGTGTCCCCGCGGCACCAAGTCCCTTTGCCAGAAGCAGCTCCTCATCCTGCTGTCCAAGGTGCGACTGTGCGGGGGGCGGCCCACGCGACAAGACCGCGGCCCAGGTGAGTGTGGCTAGGGCGGGGTCTCCGAGCCCCAAGTCCTTCTGCCTGAGACCAGGGACCCTGGAGAATGCAGCCGATCCGGGGGTGGGGGGGGTGTCCCAAAAGTAGAAGAGGTGGGCCAGAGCGACAAAAAAAAAAAAAATCTGCGGGACTATGCTTCAGTTTCCGTCCCCTTTGCCGGTAACGCCGAGTCTCCTTGCTTTCGAGGGCAAGGGGACGGTTTGAGGGGCCAGGTCTAACGGCCCAAGCTCCTCGGCTCCTGTCTGCCCCCCTTCAACACAGGACTCCCCACCCCCACTGTTCGCCTACGTGCGGGTTCTCGCGATTCTTTCCATCCGGAGCGGAGGGACCTGGGGGGTTCTGGACGCTTGGGTCACCCCGAGGGTTTCTGCAGCCCTGGCTGCCCCGCCCCCGCCCCGGTTCTCCCGCCCCTCCACGCCTGGGCTCTGCTCTTCCTGGTCCCGCTCGCCTGGCCCGGAGCCAATCTCTCCAGCTCTCCCCCGGGTGTCCTTGCAGCCACCTCGTCAGCCAGCCCCCCTCCGGACGCCCTCCTTCTGTGACCCGCGCTCCGGGAAGGGTGCTGAGCACCCCCTTCCCATTACTCCTGTGCGCCTGGGAAATCCGATCCTCCGGGCTCGGGGGACCCTGGGCTAGCAGGACCTCACACACAGTTCAGGCTGAAGACCGGCACGCAGACTTGGGGCGGGGGTCGTACCACTTCCGAGGGGGAACAGGGAAACCGGCAGAGAGCAAGCCGCGGGGAAGGACAGGTGTAAGGGCTGGTCTGTGATTCCGTCCAGGTACGCCAGTGAGGGAGTCTCTCTGGCCTCTCTCCAGGCCGCCGCCGGTTCCCCTAGGGGTAGCCCCTGGCGGCCCGCCCCCCCCCCACCAGCGGCAGGTGTGGTACAGTCCGCAGCCCACCCTCTGAGTGGGACCCAGCCCCCACGTGATGCAGCTCGCCTCTCCATCTCTGTCCCCTCTGCCTTTCCCTTGAGTGGTGTGAATGTCCCCCATCCCAGGCCAGTTACCTGGCTGAAGGGTAGAGACTCAGCCTCAGGGAGAACTGGACCCTCATGAGCCAGCCGACTGACTGACAGAGACAGACGGACAGATGGGTCAGTGTCAGACAGGCCGGCGCTGAGCCAGAGCGAGGCCCGCGCCAAGCAAGCGGCAGCTGCAGCAGCAGGTGCTGAGTCAGCGTCAGTCAAGCCCAGTCCCACCCCTCCTTCTGAGGGGGAGCCCCCTTCCCTGTGGTCACCTTGCTGCGCACCCCGACATTTGCAAACGCATTGCCCTGCGTCTCTAGCACCTGCCCGTTGCCTTTTATGTCTCTCTCTTCTACCTCCTCTCCGCCCCTCCCCCAGCTCTGGTGGAGAGAAGGAATTAAGCCATTTAAATAAATTTCAATAAATTAAGCTGACGCTCATAATTAGAGAAAGCGGAAGGGACCCACACCCCAGCTTCCTCAGGAACCGAAGAGGGGTGGAGGAAGCTTGCTTGGAGGGTGAGAGGGCTAGGCCCCGGGAGCCCTTTTCAGACACTTCCTCTCCTTCTATCCTGTGATCCCGCCAAGTGGAGGAATGTTTCTGGGAACAGAGATGTCATTTTCAAAGATGAATCTCTCTCTCTCCAGAGCCTCAGCTCAAAGGCATCGTCACCAAACTGTTCTGCCGCCAGGGCTTCTACCTCCAGGCGAATCCCGATGGGAGCATCCAGGGCACCCCAGAGGACACCAGCTCCTTCAGTGAGAGGGGAAGCCAGCTGCAGGGTGGGAAGTGGGGATCCGGGGACAGGAGATGACAATCCTGTCGCCTCTTCAGGCTTTGTCGTCTTCAGTCTGTCCTCTTGAGCCCCAAGGGAAGCAATGGCACTGGAGCGGGGAAGGGGACTCAGATGGGAGTGAGGCCCTCGGGTCCTGATGTCTGCTCTCTACGCCCCCAGCCCACTTCAATCTGATTCCCGTGGGGCTCCGCGTGGTCACCATCCAGAGCGCCAAGCTGGGTCATTACATGGCCATGAATGCCGAGGGGCTATTGTACAGCTCGGTAAGACAATGCGGCTGAGTGGCCTGGGCTACTGGGGACACCCGCAGCATATGACCACCCTTCGCCACAGGCAGGACTTGCACCCAGGACTCTGTTCCTCCTGCTTTAGCTGATCACTTACTGTTCCAAAAGTGGTCCTCAAGAGTGCATCCCGTTTCTCCATGCACTGCTCACCCTCAAGTACCCCAGGCTCTTTGGCTGTCTGATTCTCTCAGCTCTTAGGGCCCCACTTCTCAGCCTATCACCTCTAAACTTCATCTTTATTCTGGATAGGAAGTAGTAAGGGCCTGGGAATGCAGAGAAGAGATCTTATTTCCAGGGACCTATAAGCCTAGTTCCTACCCCTGGGTGGCCTGCCAGGCTCCTCCTGATTCTCTCCGTGCTGCTCTGGTTTCTGCATAGACTCAGTATTGCCATCCTCCTTTCGAAAAAATATATGGATTATATCTTGGCTGCTTCTTCCCAAGGGCTCCCTTCTGCCAGTGATATAACTCTCTCTCTCTCTCTCTCTCTCTCTCTCTCTCTCTCTCTCTCTCTCTCTCTCTCTCTCTCTCTTTCTGTGTGTGTGTGTGTGTGGGTGTGTGTGTGTGTGTGTGTGTGTCCATGCCTCTTTCTGGATCTTTGTCTCCTCAGCCGCATTTCACAGCAGAGTGTCGCTTTAAGGAGTGCGTCTTTGAGAATTACTATGTCCTGTATGCCTCTGCTCTCTACCGCCAACGTCGTTCTGGCCGGGCCTGGTACCTAGGCCTGGACAAGGAGGGCCGGGTCATGAAGGGAAACCGAGTCAAGAAAACCAAGGCTGCTGCCCACTTTGTGCCCAAGCTCCTGGAGGGTGGGTATGGGCTCAAGAAAAGGTGGGTCATGTGGGAGGGCATTGACCTTGGCATGAATATTGAGTGTCTCACAGCCCAGGCCATAAACGTTAAACAAGATGCTGTTATGATAGGCCAAGACAGGAAGGCTTTAGCCTTTGGGGGTTTGGGGAGCTCTCTTCCTTTGGGTTGGGATTCTCCAAGGATGAGTGTGTAAGGGAAGGGAGGACTCTCAGAGCTCTGATTCTTCCTGGCTCTCTGTGCACCTAATTCTCCTTCCCTGCTCCTCTCTCTCTCTCCCCTTCACAGTGGCCATGTACCGGGAGCCTTCTCTCCACAGTGTCCCTGAGACCTCCCCTTCCAGTCCCCCTGCCCCTTGAGCTGTAGTCCCTGGACTGGAGGCTCCCTGCACTTCCGGTGAGCCAGCCACCGCCACAGCCTGCCTCGTAGCCCTGCTCCAGGCCCTGCTGCTCTTACCCCTGTTACCACACACATGCCCTAAGCAGCCAGGTCTCACCAGGTGCTGTACCCTGAGGGAGCTTAGGGGCTGGCTGGGACTTCGGGAGTTGCTGAGTTCTTAGATCCTGGGGCCTAGGAGAGGTTCTGAGATGGGGGTGCCTGAAATGATCCTGGCTGACCACTTATTTCTTTTCACACTAACTCCTCCCCCTCCAAAGAACCCCAATTTTTCCCAAAATGGCGCTGGGGGTTCCAAAACTGACTAAGCAAGGGAATGAATACTCCTCACCCTGGCGGAGCCAGTTTCTGAAGCCATGTACTGTATACCCCTTTACATTGCCACGAAGCCATAGCTTTCCAGGCCGGTCCACGGGCACTCAGAGCTAGTTTCCTTCTCCCCCATTCCACCTCCTGCCTTGGTCTGGACAGGTTCTGATCCAGCTGAACACCCCAGCCAGGGCCCTTCTGTGTGCTGTATTAGAACCCAGGCATGGATCCTTTAAGCTTTGATGGACCCCCCCTGGTTTTTTGTTTTTGTTTTTTAAAGAAGAGGCTGAATTCGAGCCCCCGAATGTAGCCGCTGGCCTTGGTCTGAAGTGGAACCAGCCTCAGGTCACACCACATGTTAAACCTTCGTATCCCAGAGACACCCAATTCTAGAGCATGGTGTTCTAGACCTTTCTGGAGCCATACTTCCTCCTGAATCTCAGCTCCGGGACACAGACATGACTCTCAGCCCTTTTTTCCAGGATGGAACTAGGGCCTAATAGCCATATTATTGTACTAGAGTAAGTTCTAAGCCCACTCTTTCACTTCCTCTAATGATTATTTAAGAATGAGCTGTGGATAGAACTCAGCTATGATTCATTAAGAACTCATTGGTTCTGAGCTGTGCTTTAGTAGCACATGCCTGTAATTCAGCACCTGGGAGACTGAGTCAGAAGGATTTCGAGTTGTAGGCCATCATGGGCTATAATAGCAAAGCCCTGTCTGAAAAGCCAACACACACACACACACACACACACACACACACACACACACAGAGAGAGAGAGAGAGAGAGAGAGAGAGAGAGAGAGAGAGAGAGAGAGCACATGCTTACTACTAATCAGTACTGAATGAATCAAGAACTACTGCTTGTTTTTCCTAAATAATTTTTTAAAAATCCCCTTCCCTTTAGAATGCAAACCTCACTTTACATGGTTTCTAGTTTTAGCATTCCAACCGGGGTTCTGCCAGGGAAACCAGAGTCTCGGGGGAAAGGTACAGGAATTCTGGAAGAATTTACCTGGGGAAGCTCAGAGGAGGAAAATGGCATGCTTGGATTGAATTTGCATCTGCTTTGGGGAGACATGAACACTTAGCTACCTCAGCAGGAATTCCTTCCAGGTCCCTTCTAAAGCTGAGGTCCTTTGCTTGATATGGTGTGGTGCGTTTGTGAGGTGGAGGAAGGAGAATTGGGAACAAAGGGCTAGCCTGGGCTACACAGGGAGTTCAAGACCAGCCTGGGCTATGTGAGAGCCTATCTCAAACCACCACAGAAAACTGAGGTCTGTCAGGATAATAACTCTAGAATAAGAGAAGACAAATAGGGACAGCCTTGATTCCCCCCTCCCAGCAAGGAGACCCCAACTCAGCAATAAGTCCAACTTCTCCCTCCTACAGGTCAGGCCTAGGAAATGAGGGGCCTCTTGGGCTCCCAGACCTCATATATCCCCAGAGCTTCTAATTAAATAGAATTTACTTTACCTTACAGCTTACAACCTCAGCTGGGTTTTAAGTACCCAAAAAGGACCTGAAAATGGGGACCCTCTAGCAAAATAGGGGGTAGATTCCGAGTCTAGCAGATGTAGGTGGAAAGGACTCCGGAGGTCCTAAGGGAGGGGCTAGTGCTCAAAGGCAGGTCACTTTTCCTCAGGCCCTTTTACTTCTTGGCTTGTTGCAAGAGATGCCCCCCTCCCTCACACAAACCCCGCTCAGGCTCCGCCCATCCCCTGGCTCTGCCCTCGGGGGACCGGGTCTCCATGCTTTCTCTAATTAAAGACGATTTATACAACCCAGTGTTCTCTGCCATCTGTGAGTGGAGGGCGCCTGCAGTTGCTCCGGGCGGGACCAAGTCGAGAGGGCGGGGCGGGTGGGCTGGCAGCGGGTTCCCCGACAACAGGTGCACATTCCCGGGCGCCTCGTCACTTCCCCTGTCCTGGCGGCTTCGGCCGCTCTCCGGACAGACTCACTGAGCGGAGCGGCAGGGCCATGACCTTAGGGGCGCTGCTGCTGCTTCTGGGGGTGCTCGGGGCGCCCCTCGCCCCAGGTAAGTCAGTCTGGGCCCCGAGGAGGCAATGGCAGGGGCCATGCTCGCGGCCAGCCACCGGAGCGTCGCTTAAGTGCTTTCCTTCGCCAGGCGCCCGCGGGTCGGAAGCCGAAGGCCGACTGCGTGAGAAACTTTTCTCAGGCTACGATAACTCGGTGCGGCCGGCGCGCGAGGTGGGAGACCGCGTCGGGGTCAGCATTGGCCTCACCCTGGCGCAGCTCATCAGCCTGGTGAGGGAGGGAGGGCGAGCAGCGGGTGGAGGGCGAGCAGCGGGTGGAGGGCGCCGGGCGGGGCAGCCTGGGGGCGTGGCTTCGGACGGGCCCACGACTGGGGGCGGGGTCTGAGGCCCGGGAGATGGACAGGCCTTTGGCGAAGGTGGGGGTAGAAAACGGGACCAATGAACGCGTTCGTGGGCGTGGCCGCTTTGACAGGCCTGTGGGCGGGGTTTGGGGCGGGGCTGAGGCAGAAGGACGGCTAGGGGGCGGGTCTCGGGGCGTGGCCATGTTGGATGGGATGCTAGCAGGGTCCAGCAGAGCTTGGTGCTCGGGGGAGTCAAGGAACAACCCTGGTCGGAGATTCAGGGTTGTGTGGACTAGAGACTGGGTGTGGCCCGTGACTGAACCCGGAGGTAAAAGGCAAGGAAAGCAGGCGTCAAGGTCTGGTGTTTCGAGGCAGGGCTGATCCCCACTCAACTTCTACGAGGTGGGGTTTGCAACCAAGAAGCTGCGGTTTCGAGAAAGGGGGTAGATTTCTGCGAGACAGTGGCCCCGGGCTCTCATGTCTTCCCACTTCATTTCCTTTCTGCCTTAAATTTTTCCCTTCTAGAACGAGAAGGATGAAGAGATGAGCACAAAGGTGTACTTAGACTTGGTATGGAGACCCCGCGGGTTAGGGAAGGGCCCCGCCACCTTTCTATTAATCTCCTGAATGCTTAGCCCAGTAAGATTTTTTTTTTGCATAATGACTTTATAATATATATATATATATATATATATATATATATATATATATATATATATATATATAACCGAAATGGAGGCTTCTATAAACAATTCCTTCCTAATTGTTTAAAACACAAGTTTGGCGTCATTAATTTGAATTCTCATCCTGTAAAGGGCCGTGAACTGCAGTTTTAAAACCACTGTGGTAGAGTACAATCTCTTCAATTACTTTTTAATTTGTGTTATTTTTATTTTATGGGTATGGGTGTTTTTGCCTGAATATGTGCCTCCACCACATGCGTGTCTAGTGCTTGTGGAAGCCAGAAGAGGGCGTCCGATCCCCTGGAACTAGTGTTTCAGATGGTTGTGACTTCCTTGTAGGTGCTGGGAATCAAACCTGGGTCAAACTGTAGCCTGGTACAGTTACCCTCTGAGCCATCTCTCCAGGCCCCCTCTTTGGCTTTAGAGACTGAAAATGTAGAGTTCAGTGCGGGCGGAAGGAAACGAGTTGATGTGAATCCCAGAGATTGAAGGCAGAGCCAGCCCTGTTTCCCCTTGACCCACAGGTCAGACAGACCTGAGCTACTCTCCTTTGCACACTCCCTTGAGCACCCTCTTAGATATCCCAAGTCTCTCTCTGGCCTCTAGGCTGAACAGTCCTTTAGCATCTGCTTCCCTAGGAGTGGACAGACTACAGGTTAAGCTGGGATCCTGCAGAACACGATGGCATCGAATCTCTCCGCATCACCGCTGACTCTGTTTGGCTCCCTGATGTGGTGCTGCTGAACAAGTAGTGTTTCCAAAGGCTGGGGGCTCGGGGACTCGGGCGGGTGGGCGGGGGAGGTGAGGGGTGGGGGCGTGTTGTGGTGGGGGAGGGTCTCCGGAGGACAGATCCGGATCCCATATGAAAAGATCTCTTTCCTGCAGCAATGACGGAAATTTTGATGTTGCTCTGGACATTAATGTCGTAGTATCCTTCGAGGGCTCTGTGCGCTGGCAACCCCCTGGCCTGTATCGCAGCAGCTGCAGCATCCAGGTTTCCAGGCTTTGTCTGTTCTCAGACTTCCTCACTCCCCAGCTACTCCCAGTCCTGTGCCATAATTCCTCCTGGCCCTCACCTCTTGTTTACCCTGACTTTCCTTTGCCCTGTGCAGTCTGCCATGGAGCCTCTGCCATTTCCCTGATGATCCCTTCTCTGTTGTAACCCACATCCAGTGCCCTCCCAGACTTCCCTTGCCAGTCCTCCTGCAGCTCCAGTGTCTTCCCCTCCACTCAGGTCACCTACTTCCCCTTTGACTGGCAGAATTGCACCATGGTGTTTAGTTCCTACAGCTATGACAGCTCTGAGGTCAGCCTGAAGACAGGCCTAGGTCCTGATGGACAGGAAAGGCAGGAAATCTACATTCATGAAGGGACCTTCATTGGTGAGTGGGCGTGGTTCTCACACCCAAGGTTGATAAACAGACTCTGTTATTGATGCCCACTGTAACCTGGTGGGGTCAGCAAGTTGGGGGTGACCATCAACACTGCAAATATGGAAGCTGAAGCCAAGCTCTAACTTCTTTAATGCCAGCACTTGGGAGGCTGGGGCAGAAGGATTGCTGCATGTTCAAGGCTAGCCTGGACTACATTCAGACACCCTGATACTTTTTCTTTTTTCTTTCTTTGGTATTTTTTTGTGTTGTTTTTTGTTTGGTTGGTTAGTTTGGTTTGGTTTGGTTTGGTTTTTTGAGACAGGATTTCTCTGTGTAACAATCCTGGCTGTCCTGGAACTTACTTTGTAGACCAGGCTGGCCTGGAACTCACAGAGATCCACCTGCCTGTGCCTCCTGAGTGCTGGGATTAAAGGCGTGTCACACACACACACACACACACACACACACACACACACACCCCACTACAATAATAATAATAATATTAAAAAACAAAGAACCAGAAAATATGGAAATTGAGACTTGTTTAAGTTCATTAGAGGGGGCTGCCTAGCAGTGTGCCATTGTAGGCACTAACTAGGATAGCTGCTGCACCTGTGTTTACCTCTTCTGTCCCCCCTCCTCCAGAGAATGGCCAATGGGAGATTATCCACAAACCTTCTAGGTTAATCCAGCGTCCAGGGGACCCCAGAGGAGGGAAGGAGGGCCATCGAGAGGAAGTTACTTTCTATCTCATTATCCGGCGGAAGCCTCTCTTCTACCTGGTCAATGTCATTGCCCCGTGTGTCCTCATCACTGTCCTGGCCATCTTCGTCTTCTACCTCCCTCCAGACGCAGGTAAACAGCAAGAGCTTCCTCTGGCTCTCTGTATCATTAGCCCAGCCTTCCCCTTCTCACCTTTGGCCCAGGTTGGGTTATCTTGTTTCGTTTTGTTGTTTTTTTTTTTTTTTTTTTTTTTTTTTTTTTTTTTTTTTTGGTTTTTCGAGACAGGGTTTCTCTGTGTAGCTTTGCGCCTGTCCTGGAACTCACTTGGTAGCCCAGGCTGGCCTCGAACTCACAGAGATCCGCCTGGCTCTGCCTCCCGAGTGCTGGGATTAAAGGCGTGCGCCACCACCGCCCGGCTGTTTTGTTGTTTTTAAGGGGTGTGTGTGTGTAGCCAGGTGGTGGTGGCGCACACCTTTGATCCCAGCACTTGGGAGGCAGAGGCGGGTGGATCTCTGTGAGTTCGAGGCCAGCCTGGTCTACAGAGCGAGATCCAGGACAGGCACCAAAGCTACGCAGAGAAACCCTGTCTCGAAACCCCCCCCAAAAGAAAAGAAAATGCCCCCATACATGCCCACGTGTAATTCCTCAGCTGAAGTTCCTTTTCCCACGTGTCAAATTGAGAAATTAAAGCCAGTCTTGACAAGCAGCAAGTGTTCTGAACTAGTGAGCCATCTCTCTAGCCCCAGGATAGGTTTTCTTGCCAACTCAAACCATCTTGGATTGGATATCAGCAATCCGAGGTGCCCCCTCTCCCCCCGCCATGCACCAGCCCTGCACCCTCTCTGCTGCTGGCTTCTCCTCACCCAGTAACATTCTCACTCTTCCCTTTAGAATCCTAGCCTCCTATTCTCGGAGCCCCCATGTCCATGACAAACCAGATTCTGGGCTAAGCCAACTTCCCTTTTTCTGTTTCCCATTCCCAGCAAATAACCCCCCTCCTCCCTTTAGACACCAGCTGGTGCCTTAACTGGCTGTCCCCCTGGGAAATGACAGTTGACTTTTCTCTGTAAGGAAGTACAGTATAGTCACAGGGTAACCCTGGTCAAATTCCTTAATGACTATGTGTCTGAGTTTTCTGATCAGGAAATGGGACAGCCACTGTCCCTACTGCATAGAATTATTTTAAAGATTAATTGGGTTAATAAAACTATACCCAGTACCTAGTTGGATCTATGTAAATGTGCTGTTTTTTGTTTTGTGTTTTTACTACTTTTGAGCAGTTGATGTAAGGTAATACAATTGAGTTATATGTATGTATTCTAATCTTTACAATAACCTTTCAGGTAAGTTCCACATTGTCATCCCCTTTTGTAGAGAAGGGTAAAGGAGCTGAGGGAGTTAATTCACTGGCCTGGTATCACATTCAGGTCAGTACCAGTCTTATTCAGGGACCTTGCTGCTAGTGTTTTTCTTCCTGCACTTGGGAAACTGAGGCAGGAGCATTACCAAGAGTTTGAGGCCAGTGAGTAGTAGGGTCTTCATAAACAAGACCCTGTCTCAAAAAATATTCCAAAAAAACAAAGTAAGCAAATATGAAAACAAATAGACAAAGCCCTGTATTTTCCTCATTTCTGGCATCAAGTCCTCTGTCCAGAAAGGGAGAGAGATGCATTTCAAGAACATACTTCCAGGTCCAGCATGATGGCTCCCCAGGAAAGATGCTTGCTACCAGGCTTGAGGGCTTGAGTCTGCCATGGAACTCACAAATTGTTCTTGGACATCTCCAGGTGCGCTATGATAGGAACATGTATACACACACACACACACACACATACACACACACACACACACACACACACACACACACACACACACACACACACAAAATGTTAAAAAGAAAAAGAACCTGCTTACAAATACACTCACTTCCTTCTAGAACAGGGCAATCTTGGAACCTAATATTACAGGGCCAAAACAGAGTGAACAGTATAGCTTATTTATTTCAATACCTTTCACGCAGTTTGTAAAGTCTCTTGTATGACACAGGGAGAATCAGCCACTTTTGTATACCGTTTTATTTTTAGAGTCTTCAAATTGCTATATTGTTCTTGGAAAAGCTACAGAGATTGGTCCATTCATTCATGCAACTGTATCTGTGGAATTTCTGTGATATGCTAGGCACTGCAAAGGCACCAAGGAATAAAAATTGTAAAATTGGATTGAGGGTGTAGCTCAGAGATAGAGTGATAGAGCAGGGACAGGAGGAACTAGTGTACCGTACTTGAAGCCCTGAATTCCACCCCTCCAGCTGGGGGGTGGGGGAGATAGCAAGGGATATAGTTTAGTTGGCAGAGTGTTTACCTTTTTTGCATGAATGAAGCCCTGAGTTCAATCTCCAGAACCCATCTATAAACAAACTAACCAGTAAATAAAATCACTGTCCTTCCTGGGTATGCATGCATTCTAGTGGGGAGTCCGTCAATAAACTGATGTCTACCATCGTATATTAGAAAAGGACTTTTTTTTTTGTTATCATTGTTTGTTTGGTTTTTTTGTTTTGTTTTTCAAGACAGGGTTTCTCCCTAGCCCTGGAAATCCTGGAACTCACTTTGTAGACCAGGCTGTCCCTGAACTCAGAGATCTGCCTGCCTCTGCCTCCTAAGTGCTAAGATTAAAGGTGTGTGCCACCATGCCTGGCTTCTGGACAAGTTCTAAAAAGGAAAATAAAATAGGAAGGGGTTTGGGAAGATTAAAATGGGGGTGGACTCCTATATAGTAGCAGTCAGAGACAGGAGAATCGAGAGTTTGAAGCTAGCCTGGGCTACATTCTCAGGATGTAACTGACATGGAAGAGTGTTTGCCTATTATGCATGAAGTCTTTAACACCCATTACAGAATAAACTAGGCATAGTAGCAAAACCCTGTAATCCTAGCACTGGGATAGGACTGAGGGTAGGAGGATCAGAAGTTCAAGGTCATCCTCTGTGCATTGTGAGCTCAAGGCAAGCCTAAGATATGTGACATCTGGCCGGGCGGTGGTGGCTCATGCCTTTAATCCCAGCACTCGGGAGGCAGAGGCAGGTGGATCTCTGTGAATTGGAGGCCAGCCTGGACTACAGAGTGAGTTCCAGGAAAGGCGCAAAACTACACAGAGAAACCCTGTCTTGAAAAACCAAAAAAAAAAAAAAAAAAAAAAAAAAAGATATGTGACATCTGGTCTCAAAATTCAAACAGACCTAGAGAGCTGGCTCAGCTGGTTACAGCACTTACTGCCAAGTCTGATAACCTGAGTTTGATCTCTGGAACCTACATGATGAAAGGGCTACAGAGCAAGTTCCAGGAAAAGGCACAAAGCTACACAGAGAAACCCTGTCTCGAAAAACCAAAACAAACAAAAAAACCCAAAAAACAAATAAAAAATAACTTCTGAAGACAGAACAGGGAGAAAGCAAACCTAGTTTACTAATAACAGGGGAAAGGGTGTCAAGTTAGGGAGCTAATAAGAAAGACTTAGAGACCATGGCAACAGTATTCTGTGTGTGTGTCTCATTTTAAGACAGAGGTTTATGTAGCCCAGGCTGACCTTGAACTCAATATGTAACTGAAGCTGGCTGATCCTCCTGCCTCTACCACCAAAGTGCTAGGATTGCTATAATGACATGCTAGGCCTAATTTGCTTTATATGTTAGTGAGATAATAACATGGTAACTGTATCTCAATCTTCTCTAAAAAAAAAAAAAAAAATTGAATTGAACCCAGGGCTTTAAGCACACAAGCAGGGCTAGCACTCTACCAGCTCATTTGGATCCCCAGCCCTTCCCAGCTCTCTGTTTGCCTCACTAAGTAGTCAGGTTGGTCTTGAATTCATTCTGTAGCCAGAAGCAGGCTTTGCACTTGCAATCCTCCTGTCTCAGCCTTGAGTAATTGGGATACAGGATTGGTGCCAAGCCCAGATAGAATAGCTTTGATAGTGAGGAAATTAGGTTGTAGACAGGTTAAGTTTAGGATGTCAACAGAAAAGTTGAGTAGGCATTTGGATTTAGGCCTGAAGTTCAAAGTAAGTCTGGACTGGAGGAACAAACATCAGAGAGATTTGCAAATGACTTTCCCAAAAGCCTGCCCTTAGGTTGGAAACACAAAGATTGATGATACCTTAGAGGCTTCCTTCTGAGAAAGACTAATCCTTCTGGTAGTGTGTTAGCCTATGTCTTTAATTCCAGCACTTGGGAGGCAGAGGCCAGTCTGGGCTACACAGTGAGTTCCAGGACAGCCAGGGCTACACAGGAGTCTTTGTCTCAATAAAATAAAATGTTTTTTTTTTTTTCTTTTTCTTTCTTTCTTTTTTTTTTAAAGACTAATCCTGCTTTCTCCTCTGCCTTCCAAGGAGAGAAGATGGGGCTCTCCATCTTTGCCCTGCTGACCCTTACTGTGTTCCTGCTGCTACTGGCAGACAAAGTGCCTGAGACCTCCCTGGCGGTTCCCATCATTATCAAATATCTCATGTTTACCATGGTCCTCGTCACTTTCTCAGTCATCCTTAGCGTCGTGGTCCTCAACTTGCACCATCGCTCACCCCACACCCACCAAATGCCCTTTTGGGTCCGCCAGGTAAGAAAGATCTCCTCCAACCTGTCTTACTTTCTGATCTTATAATCAACCAGGTGAGGGAAAGGATGAAGCCAGCCTGGGCTACACAGTAAGACCCAGTCTGCAAATGACCGAGAACAGAGATTAAAAGAAGGAAGGAAGAGCATCCTTGTATTTGGCTTTGTGTCCAGAAGCTGCTCCAGCCTCCAGCCTGGACTTGACTTTACAGACCTTAAGGACATCTACAGCTGGCATAGTGTTGAAGTGCAGAAAGAAGCCTGCTGGATGGTGAAGCATTACACAATTTATTTTACCTTCCCATCCTAATCACCTCAGAGATTCAACACGCCCTTCATCCATGCTGCTCACTTAGAGGCCCAGAGAAACATTTTTAGGGTAGATGCCATCAGGGTAGAAGACTTTTGACCCCTTAATTTTTCAGGACACCTCCCAGCCTCTTAAAGAGATTTTTTGTTTTGTTTTTCGAGACAGGGTTTCTCTGTGCAGCCCTGGCTGTCCTGGAACTCAACTGTAGACCAGGCCAGCCTCAAACTCAGGGATGCACCTGCTTCTGCCTCCCAAGTCCTGGGATTGAAAGTGTGAACCACCACTGCTGGCTTAAAAGAGCTCTTTAAAAAAAAAAATGATAATTTTATGTGTATGAATGTTTGGCCTGTGTGTATGAATATTCACTACCATGTGTTCCTGATTCCTGGGGAGGCCAGAAGAGCACCAGACTCCCAGGAATTGGACATACATACAGATGATTATGTGCCACCATGCGGTGCTGGAAATTGAACCGGGGTCCTATGGAAGAGCAGTTGGTGCTCTTAACCACTGAGCCATCTCTCCAACCCACATTAAAAATCTCTTGGGGCTGGAGGGATGGCTCAGAGGTTAAGAGCACTGACTGTTCTTCCAGAGGTCTTGGGTTCAATTCCCAGTACCCACATGGCAGCTCACAACTGTCTGTAACTCCAAGATCTGATACCCTCGTTCAGACATACATGCAGGCACATCAATGCACATAAAATAAAAATAATTTTAAAAATCTCTTAAGCAGAAATGCCATGGTGGCCCACACCTTTAATCTCAGCGCTGGGGAGACGGGCAGGCGGACCTCTGAGTTGGAGGCTAGCCTGGTCTACATAAGTTCCAGGACAGCCAGGGCTACAGAGAGAAACCCTGTCTTGAAAACAAAAACAAAACATGGCCAGCTGCGCAGTTGCGTTTGCCGGTGTAGCTCAGTGGGTCCGTGAGTGTGCGTGCGCGGCAATGAACACATGGAGTGGGGGCAGTTAGGGGCTTCCTTTGTGCTTTGAAAGCATTAAAGCCCTCTGCAATGTGCCACTTCTGTAGATCTTCATTCACAAGCTCCCTCCATGCCTGGGTCTGAAAAGGCCCAAGCCCGAAAGAGACCAACTGCCACATCACTCCTTTACTCCAACAAGTGGCTGGGGCCGAGGAACTGATGAATATTTCATCCGGAAGCCTCCAAGTGATTTTCTTTTCCCTAAACTTAACAGGTAAGACCTATACTCACCAGGCTCTTGGGCAAGGGAGAACTACAGCTCCCAGAAGACCGTGAAGAGCTCCCGAAGATAGTGTGGTCTAGCATCATGGGAGTTGTAGTAGCCCTGCTGCTGCTTGCTTTTCGAGAAGGTGGCATTTTAAAGCTTACAGAGCCAGAAATTTGTAAAAGTCTGGAGAGGTCGGTGCTGGCGGGGAGATCAGGAAGAGCTTTCTCGGGTTTTGAGAACTACTAGGCTGTGGGAGGAAGAGAGCTGGCGCAGGGGCTAGGCCACCGGAACTGCTTGTTCTCTTAGAACCCAGTGTGTGGCTAAACAGTTCCTGCCCCTACAGGTTTCAGCCTGAATTATCTGCCCCGGACCTGCGACGATTTATCGATGGCCCAACCCGGACTGTAGGTCTGCCTCAGGAGCTACGCGAGGTCATTTCTTCAATCAGCTACATGGCCCGACAGCTGCAGGAACAGGAGGACCACGATGCTGTAAGTCCAATGAGGTTGGAGCCCGCAGGCTCCACCCCCAAGCTCAAACTCAGCCCCTAGCAGTCGCTTCCGTTTCTGATTGGAAGTGTGCTTGGTTTTGTCCCTCCCTCCTCCTGCTTCCCAACTGGCTCTTTTCATATCTAGGGTGCCCTGGTTCTTGGGCAAACTGCCTTTTTCTCAGATTCCAAATAGCTACCTATACCTGGGCAGAAGCTTTAAAGGGTGGGCTTTTCAGGGCTCCAGCCCTGGAGCTTATTTACTTATTTATTTTTCTGCCTACCCTTAGCTAAAGGAGGACTGGCAGTTTGTGGCCATGGTTGTGGATCGTCTTTTCCTGTGGACATTCATCGTTTTCACAAGCGTCGGGACCCTGATCATTTTCTTAGATGCCACGTACCATTTGCCCCCTCCTGAACCTTTTCCCTGAGGACCGGAGGGCCATTTTTGCCAACAATTGCAAGTGCTGTCAAGCTGTAACCACTTAACTCCTGTAAAAATCTGGTTTCTGGGAAGGCGTTGAAGTGGGACTTGGGCTGGGTAGGTGCCTTAAATGTACCTGAAGTGTCATTATTTAGGGTTTCGTCCTTTTGGGTTTTTTGTTTTTGAGACAGAGTCTCACCCTGTGGTCCAGGCTAGCTGGCAACTACATATCCCAGGCTAGCCTCAAACTTGCAGCAGTGTTAGTTCCTTAGCCTACCAAATGTTGGGATTACAGGCCTGTGAGCCAGCACACTTGGATTTGGATTCTTGAGGTTACACTGAATGTCACAGCTTTGATCTCTAATGAAGTAGAATTATAAGCAGTAAATTGTAAGCCTTTTGAGGACAGGAAATGTGTTGGCTACTATAATGTTCCTAGCAATGTACACAGGTCCTAGCCCATAAGTGCTTAACATTTATTTAATGAAGAGAGGGGAAAAAAATTCTGGAAGGAAATATAGAAAATAATACTGGCTACAAGTGAATGTAAAAATTGTCTATTTTTAACTTTCTATAATTTATTTTTTTTGTAATGATTATCACCTTTAAACTGAAAAGGTATTTCTAAAAGGTCTGTATTTGCAATGAGGAAACATTAAAACCGAAATAAAACAAAACCTTTCAAGATCCCGGAGTGGTCAGGCAGTGGTGGCCACATGCCTTTAATCCCAGAAGGAGGCAGAGGCAGACCTCAGCATCACCTCTCTCCAGCCCTTAATTCAGATTTCAAATTACACATCTTTAATCCCAGCACTCAGGAAGCAGAAGCAAGTGGATCTCTGTTTGAGGCCAACCTGGTCTACATAACAAGTTCCGGGCTAGCTAGCCAGGGTTACATAGCAAGATCCTGTCTCAAAAACAACCGAGGCCAAAAAACAGCCATTAGGACATGGTGTGCGTGTCTATAACCCCAGTTACTCCAAAGGCACGGAAATGGAAAGTCTGAGGCTATATCGTGAGTTGAAGGTCAGACCGTACAACTTACTAAGATCCTGTTTCTAAAACAAAACCCAAACAAACAGTAGCAGGCCCATAATCCCAGCACTTGAAAGAGACAGCAGTATCAGAAGTTCAAAGTTGTTTCAAGCAACAACAACAAAACCATTAAATGAAAAATGAAGGGAAAATAAGGGCTGGTAAGTAGTTCAGGGGTAGAGTACTTGCCTACTGTTCTCAAGGCCCTGGGTTCAATTCCAACTACTCCAAAACAAACTAATAAGACCTGTACAAACCCAAGAACATAGACAAAAAAGCCCAAACCAAACCACAACCAAAACCAAAGCCCATCAGTTTCAGAGCTCTGGTATACAGGAGTTCTCTGTGGGTGTATACTACTATCTGCTTCATGTTACAGATACAGAAACAGATTCTGAGCGGCTTAATGGTTTATGTCCCAAAATTAGAGCTTGAAGAAGGTTGTGTGGGACAGTCTCGCTCTATAGCCTAACCTGGCTGAAACCCACAACAATCCTGCCTCAACCTTCCAATGCTGGGGTTCTAATATGAGTCGTTATGCCTGACATGAATGTGCGCTCGCGCGCGCACGCGCGCGCGCGCGCGCGCGCTCTCTCTCCCTCTCTCCCTCTCCCTCTCCCTCTCCCTCTCCCTCTCCCTCTCCTCTCCTCTCCTCCTCTCCTCTCCTCTCTCTCTGGACTGGTCTTGAATTCAGTATGTACCAGATTTTGGCCATGAATTTGTAGTAATTCCCTTGCCTCTATCTTCCAAATTCTGGGATTACAGGCATTCACCACCACTCTTGGACCTTGGTTTTTCAAAACAGGTTTTCCTGTGTAGCCCTGGCTGTCCTGGAATTTGCTCTGTAGACCAGCCTGGCCTCGGTTGTTTTTGAGACAGGATCTTGCTATGTAACCCTGGCTAGCTAGCCCGGAACTTGTTATGTAGACCAGGTTGGCCTCAAACAGAGATCCACTTGCTTCTGCTTCCTGAGTGCTGAGATTAAAGATGTGTAATTTGAAATCTGAATTAAGGGTTGGAGAGAGATGATGCTGAGGTTAAGGGCACTGGCTGTTCTTCTAGAGGACCAAGGTCTGATTCCCAGAACCCACACATGTAACTCCAGTCCCGGGGCATCCAACACCTCTTTCCAGCCTCCTCTGGCACTCTACACGTGGTGCATCCACATGCAAACAACACACTCACATAAAAGGAAAAACTATTTGAAGCTTGGTACCTTTAAAATTGGTGTATTTCACAGACATTTGGATTTCAGGCTTCTCTTGAAAACGTTTATAAAACTAGTGCCACTAGACCCGCGACTGTCGTTGACGGCAACCTGCTAGGGCTTCTCAGTGGCTGCCCACTCTGGCCAGGGAGCTCACACCAGAGTTCCTCCAAAGCTCCCGTCTACCTGACCAGCCTTGCTCACGTTCCCAGCTACCCCTGCATGACACACGAGGATACAGAGCAGGCAAGACAAAGCCAGTGAGGACACAGGGGTGAGGACAAGCTCCCGTGGCCATGATGTAGTTTCTGCTCCAATGTACCTTCAAACTAGAAAAAGAGCTGGACCTGGTTTAAGGCAAAGGTTAGTCTGGGACACAGAACTCTTGAACCTAGCACTTGTACTCATTGAGGGTGTTTCTAAAGGAGGGGGCACTGCATTTTTGAGAAGGGGCCTTGTGAAGCCATGGTTAGCCTGGAACTCCATGTGTAGCTGAGGATAACCCTGAACTTCTGATCCTCTTGCCTTTACTTCCCAAGTGCTTGTGTTAGAGGTGCGTGCCACCATGTTGGAGTGAGAAGCAAACCCAGGGTTTCCTGCATGCTAGGCAAGCACTCAGCTGCCTGAGCTCCAGTTCCAGCTCCTGAGTTAATGTCTCTCCCTGGAGGTCAGATCAGTGAGCTGGAGCCTGATGGCACTACGACTCCAGTGGAGCACCTGGAGCGGCAGGCCTTATATCAACTCGACTGCTAGACATTGGTCCTGGGAGGGGGCCTAGGCTATAGGTCTCAGAATCCCGTAGGAGCAAGGGAAGCCAATGCCTGCCCCGACCCAGCAGCCACACAAATAATCGCACCTGGCGCCCCACTGTGAACACAGTTCATTTGTCTGGTTGGTTTATTGTCCTGGAGAAATGGAAACACACACAAATCTGAGATAAATATTGGTCAGTTTCTCTAAGTCTGGGTCCTCACTACGGATAGAGCTAGTCTGTAGAATTCTAAATCTTGCGTGCTATGGCACAGAACCAGTGGCCTTCCCACTCTATCACCCTCCTTCCCAGGGAACACGGGGAAAGAGGGCACAGACTGACAAGACTTGATCATCTTCAAATGACAAAATTGCAAAACCCCAAATTTCCAATACCTGAAACTCACAATATTGAAACTTTCCAGCTCAAATACATATTTTTAAGTTTCTGCTTTACTACAACTTTGTTGCCAAATTCTGGAAGCTATTCTCCTTACCCTACCCATTTAAAAAAAAATAAACACATAATCTTAATTCTTCCAAAAGGTCTGTGGTTTTGTAATTTTGACCTATTCTGAAATTCAAATTCCACAGCCCATCTTCACCCTTTCTACTCTCCTGACTTCCTCAGAGGAGCGCTAAGAAGGGCACAGGGGGCTGTCATCATACCTGCCCCTGCCTGCAGGCCTTCCTCAGTCTCTCTTGTGGTTCCGCTGTATATATAGATATATTTATATATATAATTTGTGTGTAGATATATATATGTATTCTTTATTATGTATTTTTTGCAGTTTTTCTAAAGTGCCAGAAACAAGATTTATGGGAATTTTTAGTGATTTTTTTTCTTTTTTTTTTCCCATTTTTTCCCTGTTTGAAACTTTTTCCCCCTTAAAAACTGGAACTTGGTACATTCAGTAGGAAATTCTTCACTCAGGCTGTGGCCAAGACCAAGAAAAGTGCAAAGAGACAGAGGAGGAATGGAGTGACCCCTCCGTGGTTAACATTCAGGAAGCCTGTCAAATCCTTTCCCTCCCTGGGTACCAGGGAGGTTAGGAGGGGGCAGAAAATGCTCCTGGCCTTTCCAAACTCACCTCCCTCAAAAGCCATGATCTTGCCCTCTCCATAGTAGGTCAGAGGGCAGCCATCTTGGCCCCAGGAAACAGTAGCCGAGAGAAAGGCTGTCATTTGATTAAAACAGTCTTTCTCCTTTTAAGTCATACTCCTCTAATTCCCACATCAAATTTGCTCCCCAAAACTGGCTCTCCCCTTTTGAGCTATTTTGTTTTGAGGGGAGGTGAGGTGGGTAATATGGGAAATATCCACCTAATCACACATTAGGGAGGCCCCATTTTCAACAAGAAGTAGGAACAAATATTTATCCTCCCCACTGGGAGGAAACATAGGGACCCCTGACCAGGGTTAACTAGTGCAAATTAGGGATTAGGGACTACTTAAAATCCCTGCACCCCCATCCCTAGGCTGGGATCTTTGGGTGTGGGGAACTGAGTCAAAGAGGGGTATAAGGTGCTATTTTGGAGGCAAAGTTGGTGGGGATACCCCAAAGCCCACCAGGACAGGAGGATGGTTCCCTCCGAACCATCTGGAGTGATTGGTGAGGACATGACACTAGCGGAGACAGGGTTAAGGGAAGGATGGAAGGTTATGTGCAAATCTTGGGCTTACCCACACATCAAACCCCCATCACTTTTCTGGCTATTTGGTCTAATCTAGAAGAAACCATAGTGAGGGGTTGGCAGGGAGGAAGGAGATTCTCTTCTCCATCCTATATGGAGTGCTTCATACCTGGTGCTCAAATTTGGTTTAGCCCCAAAGAAGCCACATATAAAGGCCAGAAGAGATATGATCTATTCACCTCTTTTGTCTTGGAAGAATCTGGAGTCACTGGATTTGGGGGTAAAGGTAGGGCCCAAGATTTCCCTGCCCTGTACTGAAAAAGTGCTCAGCCATAGAACACCCCCCCCACCTCCTTTTGACCTGGATTGGGTTAGGCCATCTCCAAAGTCTAGGAGCACAGGAAGGGATATGGAAGATCCGAAGGCATGGAAGCCAAGGAAGCATGGCATTGTAACAGGAAAGAAACAAGGAGAGAGAAACCCACCCTTGGGAAGAACGGAATCCAAAGCCATGCTTCCAGGCTGGTGGGTCAGATATCACAATGGTCTGGTCCAGGCCCTGGGCCACAGAGAATGGAATGTGCTAGGAAGCATCTGGAGAAGGACTTAGAGAAAGCTTCAGAACGAGCAGGCATCATTAGGTGAGAGAGATGGTCTCCCCCTAGGTTTACAAATCAGGGGAGCAGGTTAGACATTCAGAGCTGGTGGGGGCTGTAAGTAGAGATTCAGGTAAGTATATTGCTCAGTTGCCCCAAGGGCTGGAGAAGGAATAGGAGCTGGCTCTTCCCCTCACAGGGGTCATTCCCTGCAAAGATTGAGAGGGGAACCACCGAAAATCCCTTCTCAGGGGGTGGGGAGATTACAATCACACAAAGCAGCCTGACTCCTGAGCTCCAGGGGCCCCCAATCCCTGCACTAGAGTGTGATGGGGCTCCCAAGGGGCAGGGAGGCCAGGGAGCTGCTAGTGGTGGGGGCTCAGGGAGGTTGGCATCTGGCGAAAGGGGGATCTGGCCTTAGTGCTCACCCCACATCTCCCTTTTGGGTTCTCTCAACCCCTGCCGGT